CGCGGTCCGCGCCGCGTGGGGCCGCGGGGGAGCGAGGCCGGGCCGGGCCGACCCACCTCGTAGTGCTCCGACCGCTGCACGAGGATGAGCGGCTCCAGCTTGTGGCCGCACAGAACCAGCTGGAAGAAGCTCTGGCCGCGGGCTGGAGGGGGCGCGGCTCAGCCCGAGGCCCGGGGCGGGGGCGGGGCTCCGGGAACCGGGCGGAGGGCCCGCTGGCCCCCCGCTCCCGCTCCAGCTCCAGCTCCCCGGCCGCAGCCCGGCCCCCCGGCCCGGTCCCCGGCCCCCCGCCCGCCCCGCCCCTCGTCACCGTCGGAGCTGAGCGCCAGGCGCACGTAGACCAGGTGCATGGGGCCCCGGCACACGGTGCGGCCCTGGATGGAGAAGTGGTAGGTGCCGAGCACGTGGTTCAGCACCAGGCGGCGCCGCGGCAGCGACGAGATCGTGATCCACAGCCCCACGCCCACGCCGTAGGCCGGGAAGCCCCACGTCTCCTGGTTGCGCACCTGCTGGCGGCGCAGGGGAGCCTCTGAGCGGGCGGGGCGGGCGCCGGGGCAGCCGGGGTGCGGGGTGCGGGGAGGGGGGACCTCAGACCTGGCTCACGAGGCCGAAGATGACGAGGAAGAGGCAGACGAGGAAGAGCAGCGCGCCCTTCCACAGCGTGTCCAGATAGTACTCGAGCACGAAGACTGCGCGGGAGGGGCGGTGCGTGAGGAGGGGGGGGGTCGGACCCAGGCCTGGGGCTGGGACCCTCGTCCAGCCGCTGATTCCCGGCCCAGGCTAGCCCCGCCCCCGCCCTGCAGGCCTCAGGCCCGCCGGCGCCCCGCCGCCCCGCCGCCCCCGCAGGGCGCCCCGCTCTGCACCGTTAGGCTGCAGCTGCGTGAACGGGTAGAAGCTGTTGTTCTTGATGCACCAGGCCAGGTGGCGCTCATTGCAGCAGAGGCCGACCAACCAGAGCTGGAAGCGCTTGCCGCGGGGAGTGGGGAGGCTGCTGATCAGGTCCCGGGGGACCTGGGTCTGGGCCAGGCGTAAGCGGTCAGCCGGCAGTCTTCTGCCCCCTCCCCGCCCACACACGCACCCAGCCCTCCCGGGACCTGGGAGAAAGTTGCCAGGGCTGCAAGGAGGAAGGAGCAGGAGCGCTTGGGCGATCAGCAGGGGAGACCCCAGGCGGCAGTCCAGGCTGGGCTGCGGGGTGCACTCGGGTTCTAGAAGCTTGGGGTGCTGGGTTCTAGAAGGGTCTGTATTGTTGACCATCCCCTTCCAAGGAGAGTCCCCTGGCCAGGTCCTTGCTGTGGGCACTCACGGCCCACCCCACCTGTGGGAGGCTCCTTGCACAATCTTTTCCTGAGGGATGGGGTGGTGAGACACCCTGGGCCTCACACCAAACCCTAGAGCTGAGCACGGCAGTCCCCTGCACCACACCTGCCAGACCAGAGCCTCCTAACCGAGGTGGCTCACCTCGGCATCTCCGAGGGTGGGACACACAATCCAGATTCCAGTCCAAGGCACAGCCCCAGCGCCTTCTAACACTGACACCCTCCCCCCCCCTCAACCAAAGGCAGACTCAGGATCCTGTGAGACCCCCCCCCAAAAAACACAAACACAAAACAAACTCCCGGCCAGCTCTAGCCCTAAGTGGTTCCCTCAGGTATAAGCCCTGACTACCCCCCCAACAAAAGGCCACACAATTCTTAAAAATGTTTATTGTAACAAAATGCTCCCACATCTAAAACCGGAGAAGGGTGCAGGGCTAGCTGGGGGAGGGCGGGCAGGTGAGCAGCTGCTCCAGGCACCCTTGGACCTCCTCTGGGCCGCGGTACGCCCGCTTCAGGCCCCTCGGGAGGCAGCGGCAGGACTCCAGGTTGAGGTACCGCAGGCCGGGGCAGCTGCTGATCACAGAGCTGTGGGAGCAAGGTAGACCATGGGGCATGGGGCCACTGGCTCCCCAGAGACCCGGGCCCTCCCAGGGCTGGGCCAGGTCGGGAGCCCTCTCTGCCACCCAAGCCACCGAGGCCCAATGCCAGTTCCCTTGGTGTCCCCAAGCCCGACTCCAAGGAGGGGGTTTTGCCCGCATATGCTCCCCTTTCAGACCCTGGAACTGGCGAGCCAGGCAGGTCAGGAGGCCAACCATCCTGGTTCCAAGGGCCGGGGGAGGGGGTGCTGACCTGACGGTGCTCGGTGTGACCCGGGTGCCCCTGAGGTTAAGGGAGCACAGGGCTGGGGGGGAGCCCCCGGGGGCGCCCGAGAAGGCGGCCAGGGCCTGCTCCAAGTCCTTCTCACTGAAGCACTGGCCACTCAAGTCCAGCTCCCGCAGAGTGTGGCACCACTTGTGGGTCAGCAGGGGGCTGCCCTCCTTGGCGAGGGTCAGCCGGTCTGACATGCCGTACAGGCCCAGGTACAGCTGCTCCAGCTCTGCAGGCGAGAGGGGTGGGCATGAGCTGTGGGGTGGGCCAGGGCCCCCCTCACACCTGCCCTGCAGCCACCCAGGGGCGCTGACCCTGACACGGCAGGTCATGCAGGCCGACGGGTGTGACCCGGGCGCAGCCTCGAAGGTCCAGCAGGCGCAGGCCGGGGGAGCCCCGGAGCAGGCGGCTCAGAGCCTCGTTGCTCACAAAGCTGCAGGTGGAGCCGGCGAGGCAGAGCTCCTGGAGGCGGGGGAAGCCTGGGCCGGGGGTCGCCGCTCGCCCCACGGGCTTGGGCAGCCATATCAGGTTCAGCAGCCGCAGCACCTGGGGGCAAGGCCCAGGCTGCAGGTGGGGAGGGCCGTGCCAGGCGGGAGAGGTGGGGCGGCAGGTACCTGCAGCTGGGGGCAGCCTCTCTGCAGGGTCTCCAGGGGCAGCTGGAGGGGCGTGTTGTTCTGGTGAATGCCGGTGCTCACCTCCAAGAGCTGGAGCTGAGGGCAGCAGCCGCCCTGCAGAGGTGGGGGGCGGGGGAAGGCCGGGGGGGTCAGTGGCCTGACCGTCTCTGGCTCAGCACCAACTCGGCTCCTGTCTGTCACCAACCTACCAGCAGGGCACCCAAGATGGCAGTGGTCTGGGAGCCGTAGGTCAGCCACAGCTTGCGCATTCGAGGCCCCACCTCCTCCAAGAAGTTCACCACGGCCGTGGACTCCACCTGAGGACCCAGCACAGGGGTACCTGTCACCGTGGCTTGGGCTTCTTCGGGGCCCCTGGGGACACAGGGCTCACCATGGAGTGCTGGACATCCAGGCTGTGGAGCTGGGGGCAGGCTCTGGCCAGCGTGACCAGGGTGTCAGCGGTCACACCGTGGCAATCGGAAAGCTTGAGGAAGGTGAGCCGAGGACAGGACTCACTGACCAGCTGCAGAAGAGAGAGGGGCGGTGGGTTTGAGGGAGGGCAGGCCGTGGTCAGCAAGAGAAAGAAACCAGCGACTGGTACCACCCTCCTGCCTCGGCTACAACCTCCTTTCCTCCCTCGCCAGGCCCACCGGGAGCTCCTACTACTTCTGACACCTCCCTGCTGGAGGAGACAAAAGGGAAGGAGAAGCAGGCAGGTATCCCCGTGGGCCAGGGTTGGGCGCCATGGTGGCTGGCCCACTCTCTGGACGCCATGGGCAGCCCCAGGTTTTCGCAGCTGGTGTGCAGGGCAGCCTCCAGCACTCACCTTCAGCACGGGATGTACCTGGGACTTCCAGTGGATGAGGGTCAGCCTCTGGAGCTGCGAGAACCTGGGGAGAAGGCAGAGGCTGACCTGCAAATGTTCCCACGCTGCCTCCCCGCCCAGCCTCTTGGTGCAGGGGAACAGGAAGGGGCCTGGGGCTTCCCACACCACGACGGGTACCGGAAGGGGATGAGGAAAAGAGGGGATGCCCCACCGATTGGGCATAAGCCACTCCAGGGAAGCGAGGAGCTTCTTCTCGGCCTTGGCGCCGCCTTTGGTGGATCGGCCGGCCAGCGGGGGCGAGAGGGTCACGGTGTGCCAGAGAGCGGGCTGGGAGGCGGCCTCGTGCCAGCGGCGGCACACGCGCGCGGCCCTGGAAGAAACCCCTGCTGAAGGGCCGGGCTTCTCGCGGCCGGAGCCATCGCACCGGCGGCCGCAGCTCTTACAACGCCGCGGACGCTCCAGCAGACGCTCGTGGGGCTCTAATTGGAGCCCAGGAGAGACCGGCTTCTGCCCCCGCCTCTGCCCCCCACACGGTGGCAACAGGTCCGCCACGCTCGACGGGCCCGAGGTACCTGCCGAGGAAGGGCATGGGCCCGTCCGCCGCCACCAGGAGCCCGAAAATCTGCAGCAGGATTTCCAAAGGGATGCGGTCGCCCCAGCCGGGGTCCGGCCCCTGCGGCGGCGCGGGCGCGGTGGTGGGTGCGGGCCGGGGCCTGGCCTTGGCCGCCGCGGCGCGGGCCCCGGTGGGCGGCAGCGGCTGGGCGCGGCGGGCGGCGCGGCGGTGGGCGCGAGCGCGAGCGGGCCCCGCGCCGGGCAGCACGAGCAGCATGCTGTCGGCCTGCAGCAGATGGAACCCGGAGCCGCTCGGCGCCAGCCGGTCCCACCACCAGTCCTCGGCCGAGCGGGCCCGCTCCCCGGCCGGGAGCGCGCCTCGCACTCGGCGCCGGGCTCTCCGGACCCGCCGGGCGCCCCCGGGAGCCATTGGTACTCGCTGCGCTCCCGGTGACGGCTCCAGGGGAGCGGAAGCAGCGGAACTCGACGGCGGAAGGGGCGTGTCTGGAAGGAGGGACTTGTCATATCTCCAACGAATCAGTGCCCACTTCCGGGGCGGAGCTTCCGGTGGGAAGACATTGCGGGATTTAACCGTGTTCCGGCCGGGGAGGTGGAATCTCCGCTCAGTCCCGGCCACATCCCCGACGGCTCTGGGCTGGAACCAGACCCTGGGCTGCAGGCCGCGTGGCGGGAGGCCGGCCACCGAGTCGGGGGTCGCTCGGGCGCTGGACCGGGAGGCGCGGAGACCCGGACGCCCTGGCTGCAGTCCACCGACGTCTCCCCCCCACGAAGGAGGCGGGGCCCGCCTAGGCCACACCCCTCAGCCCCATGGGGCTCAGCCTCGGGGCATCGCGAACGCTCCGCACTCCCGGGAGGGCGCTAAGCTGCGAAGGTAACCCTGGCGCCTGAGCGGTGTCCTTGTCCCCACGTCTGCTTTGGGGGGTGGGTGGTCGTCTGGCCACTCAGGCCCGACGTGAGCTGCCTCTTGCTCATTCTCCAGCGGGGCTGCCCTGCACCTGGGCCGGGCTTCCCGCTTCCCCACCTGCTGCCTTGCTGTGTCGGGGTCCTGACCCGGGAGGCAGGTGCTACTTGGTCTCCTTTGGAGCCTCCTCCGCCCCCCCAGACCCCCCGGCACCCTCCGCTTCTCCCGGTCTTGGCCGCTATTCCCGGTCTTGGCCGTCTGACCTTCTGACTCCTGCGTCTCTTCCTTGTGATCCCGCATTTTCGTCTGTTTCCTTCAAGCTAGGAAAGGTCTTCGGTTTCTAGAAGAGGAAGCGCTTTCTTCGGACCGAGGTGTGCACCGTCCTGTGGGGGCCCACCTTGGCTAATGGCAGCGCCCCCACTGGGCCGCCTGGTGCTGACCCACCTGTTGGTAGCCCTCTTCGGCATGGGCTCCTGGGCTGCCATTAACGGGATCTGGGTGGAGCTGCCAGTGGTTGTGAAAGATCTCCCCGAGGGTGAGTGAGAGTTGCAGGCCACAGCGGGCCAGGCCGGCAGGGAGGTGGGCGGCAGCTGCTTTGCCTCTGATGTGGCCCCCTCCCTTCCCTGCAGGTTGGAGCCTCCCCTCCTACCTCTCTGTGCTGGTGGCGCTGGGGAACCTGGGCCTGCCGCTGGTGACGCTGTGGGGACGACTGGCCCCAGGCAAGGGCGAGCGGGCCCCCATCCGGGTGGTGCAGGCCCTGAGTGTGGTGGGCACTGCCCTGCTGGCCCCCCTGTGGCAGCAGGTGGCCCCGGTGGCGGGGCAGGATCACTCCGTGGCCTTCCTGACCCTGGCCTTGGTGCTGGCGCTGGCCTGCTGTGCCTCCAATGTCACTTTCCTGCCCTTACTGAGCCACCTGCCGCCTCCCTTTCTGCGGTCCTTCTTCCTGGGTCAGGGCCTGAGTGCCCTGCTGCCCTGCGTGCTGGCCCTCGCGCAGGGGGTGGGCCGCCTCGAGTGCCCGCCAGCCCCCACCAACAGCACCCCTGGGCCTCCCCACTACTTCCCGGAGCGCTTTTCCGCCAGCACCTTCTTCTGGACACTGGCTGCCCTTCTGGTCACTTCGGCTGCCGCCTTCCAGGGTCTTCTGCTGCTGTTGCCGTTACCGCCGTCCGCGCCCACGGAAGGCCTGGGGCCTGGCCGTGGGGCGGGAGCCCCTGGAGCGGAGGAGGAGGCGGCGGAGGGAGAGGCCTCACCACTGCAGGAGCAACCTTTCCAGGCGGCAGGCACCACGCCCTGCCGAGACCCTGAGGCCCATCGACTGCTCTCTGCCCGCAGTGCCTGCCTGCTGGGCCTGCTGGCCGTCACCAATGCACTGACCAATGGCGTGTTGCCAGCAGTGCAGAGCTTCTCCTGCTTGCCCTATGGGCGCCTGGCCTACCACCTGGCCGCAGTGCTGGGCAGTGCCGCCAACCCCCTCGCCTGCTTCCTGGCCATGGGCATGCTGTGCAGGTACACAGGGGCCTTAAGCTGCCGGGGTGGGAGTTTAGGGCTGAGGACCCCGGCCAGGAGCAGGCATCCCTGACTTCCTGCTTACGCCTGGCAGGTCTCTGGCAGGGCTGGGCGGTTTATCTCTTCTGGGCCTGCTCTTCGGGGCCTACCTGATGATGCTGGCCGTCCTGAGCCCCTGCCCTCCTCTTGTGGGCACCACTGCAGGGACGGTCCTTGTGGTGAGCACACTGGGGACACTGGAGCAAAGAGGGTGGCGGTGGAGGTTTGGCGCTGAGCCAGAGGCATGTGATGCTCAGCCTGCTGCTGTGTCTCACCCAGGTGCTGTCCTGGGTGCTGTGTCTGGGGCTGTTCTCGTACGTGAAGGTGGCTGCCGGCTCCCTGCTGCATGGAGGTGGCCGGCCGGCACTGCTGGCGGTTGGTGTGGCCATCCAGGTGGGCTCCCTGCTTGGTGCTGTCGCCATGTTCCCTCCTACCAGCGTGTACCACGTGTTCCACAGCGGGAAGGACTGTGTGGACCTGTGTGGACCCTGAAGCTGGGCAGGTGGGGCTCTCACTCCGTGCCACCCATGCTCAGGCGGGGGCTGTCGCTGTGCCTGATGCCCACTGTCCAGGAGGCCCTCCCCACGCCAGCCATGAACATGGACACCTGCACACCCCACAGGAGAGCTGGCACCTCAGGCCGGGCTGGGACCTCAGAGCAGGCCCGCATCAGGTCCCCACTGGCCTGTGGTCGAGGCTTGGGCCTGGGCCCTGTGTGGGGTTTGTACAGTAAATCATTTTTTTTTTTCTGTGAGTCAGACTTGTTAACCTCAGGAGCACCTTTTCCCTTGCAGACAGACCTCCCGCCTCCCAGCCACAGTTATGGTCTGGCTGTTCCTGGGCGCCTGCTACCCCCACGCTGTTCTCATATTCCTGGGGTTATGGCCTCTGAGCCAGGACTCCTGCCCCCAACACCTTGCTTCTTGGACTCCCCCGCCCCCTGAGAACTCCCCAGAGGGAGGGCAAGGCCAGCTTCCAGGGCCTGGGATCGAGGCCAAGGACCCACCCAGGCAGCGTGTGGCCACCAGTGTCAGCCTGCCCGGACCGAAGGTCCATGTTGGGGCCTCTTCCCAGCTGGGCTGCTGTTCCACAGGCACCTGCAGCCTGTGGTGGCTGGGCCAGCCAGGCACAATGGACAGGAAAGGCTGTCCCTGCTCTGGGACCTGGGCGCGGCCCACTCCCCGCTGCTCTGGGGGATTTGACGCCAGGGCTTTGTTGCAAGGTCCAGGCAGGGGAGGAGCTCAGCGCGCAGGACTTAGAAGAGGCCTTGGTTTAAGGTTCCAGCCAGGCGGGACCTTTCTGCTCCAGAGCATTGACCCCACCCCCGAGCTTCCATCTTCCAGTTTCTGGCTCCCGAGATCAGAGGCCCCAGCCCTTTAGTATTCAGGCAGACAGCATCACCTTCCTGAGCAGCCCACTGCCTGGGACTGGAACTGGCACCTGCAGGGAGTGGGATCTCTGCACCAGCCTCAGTCTGTCCAGGACTAGCCGGTTCTCCCACAAGGCTGGAGCAGGCGTCTGAGCCAGGACGGAGGCTGTGCTGATGCTGATGGGGCTGCAGGGGGCAGGCGAGGGCCTCCCTCTGCAGGGAGCCCCTGCAGCCACTAGGAGCAGGGAGTGGGTGCTGGGAGATACAGCTCCATCCCTGCTGCCCAGCTCCTTGACTCGGCCTGTGTGGGGGCCTCTGAGGGCCTCGTCTGCCTCCTCCCTCATTCCCTTCACCCACCACCCACCTTGGCAGGACCACTGAGCCTGAGGGCGTTCTCTGTGGGGAAAAGGGGCCCCATGCCCGGACTGTGGAGTCTCTGGTCTAAAGTCCCATCCAGCACCAGCATCGTCAGGGGAGTTTCCAAGTGGCTCAGACACAGCCCAGCCCTCAGGGCAGGAGGCCAGGCCCTGGCCTGCCCTGTGGAGCAGGGGCACTTGCCTGGCTGCTGGCCTGGGAGGCGGGGCTTTGGTGGAGGTGAGTGAAGGTAGAGGAGGAGGATGCGGGCGGGTGGGTGGACAGCACAGCCTCGCACCACCACACCCTCTCCTGCTTCCCTGGAGCTAGAGGTGGGGTGGGGGTGAGGAAGCCCTGCCCTTTGAAGCCAGCAGGGCCTTCCGGTCAGTGGTCAGTGCCCACAGAGGCCAAAATACCAAGGGGAGGAAGATGCTGGAGGGCCAAGTCCGGAGAGCCTGCCTGTCCCTCTCGTGTGCCCAGAGCCAAGGCCCGCGGCCAGGGAGGCAGGGCAGCCCCCGTGCCGGGACCTTCAGAGCTGGACCCTGCCCCCCTGCCCGTCCTCAAAAGCAGACCTCCCGCTGGACGGCAGGTGTCAGCTGCTCTGAAACTCCCCACTCTGCTAAAGCCTCTCGGGCCTGGGCCTGGGGCATTAGAAGGAGACCCTGAGCCACCAGGGCCACTGCTGCCCTTCCCACCACCAGGAGCAGGCCCTTCCGTTCCTCAGAACCTGACCAGGCACCTCCTTTCCCGGTGAGGCCACCGCAGCTGGGGCTGCTGAGTTCCAGGACAGGGCTCCGGTGACTGGCTGAAGGTGGGGCCTTCCTTCAGCACAGGAATCGCACGGGCGTGCTGCCAACGCTGTATCCACTGAGCAACACTGACGGGGGCGAAACCCTTCCTTTAAACAAAAAGAATATATGTTGTTGATTTCAGAGAGGAAGGGAGAGGGAGAGACAGAAACATCAGTGATGAGAGAGAATCATTGATAGGGGGCGGACCCAGATCCAACTGGGGATCGAGCCCGCAACCGGGGCATGTGCCCTGACAGGGAATCAAACGGGGACTTCCTGGTTCATAGGTTGACTCTCCACCACTGAGCCAAACCAGCCGGGCGCCCTTCCTCTTATACACGCACATACGTTTGGTCCAGGGAGATTCAGATGTGCTCTGTTTTTACCCTGTGGGAAGAACAGATCTCCATCTTTTTAAAATTCATTCCCACCTTCCTTCACGTCATATAAATCTGTGGTTCTGAACTTCTGAACTTATAATCACATTCTTGGTTCTCTCCTTAGTGACTTAAATAAACCTTGGGCACATTGTACTAGTTTTTAACACAATATTACTGAGTTGGTCGGGATGAACATACGGGTTTCAGGTGTGGGTTTCTAGGTCAAGGATCTGTCTATTGCACTGCGTGCCCACCACCCAGAGTCAAATCTCCTGTCCCCTTATATTAGGAACACTTAGTTTTTGAGTTGCTGCTGGAACACCTCACCAGGGACTTGGTGGCTTACAACGACCACTGTTCATTTTGCCACAGAGACAGAGGCTGGAGGTCAGGAATTAAAGTGGTGGCAAGGCTAGTTCCTCCGGAGGCTTGCAGGGAGCAGGCTGCAGGCCCATTTCCGGCTCCTGTGGCTGCCAGCAATTATTGACATTTCTTGGCTGTTGGCCACATCACTGCCTTTTTTTTTTTAATTATTAATTTTAAAGAGAAAGAAAGGAGAGAAACATCAATGATGAGAATCAGATCAGCTGCTCCTGCATGCCCCATACTGGGGATCGAACCATAAACCAGGCATGTGCTCTAATGGGAATCGAATCTGGGACTCTTAAGTCTGCAGGCTGACGCTCTCCACTGAGCCACACCAACCAGGGCTATGCCTGTCTTTACAGGGGCTTTCCCTCTGTGTCTCAGACTTCCTTCTCCACCTCAGGACACCAGTCATTAGGTTCAGGGCCCATCCGTATTCAGGCTGGTCTCACGGAGAACCTTAATTTCATCGGTAATGAACCTATTTCCAAGTAAAAGTCTCAGGACAGACTCTGGAGCTTAGAATGTGGACACCACCCATTTTATATCTGTGCGCAAGTCATGCTTAGCACGCGCTTCCTTTTTTTCTTTTTATTTTGGAGCAATTTTAAAAAATTCTTTATTGCTGAAACCCGTTTGGCTTGGTGGATAGAGCTTTGACCTGCATACTGAAGGGTCCCAGGTTTGATTCTGGTCAAGGGCATATACCTTGGTTTCAGGCACATCCCCAGTGGAGGTTGTGCAGAAGGCAGTTCATTGATATTTCTCTCTCATCAATGTTTCTAACTGTCCATCTCACTTCCTCTCTGTGAAAAATCAATAAAATATATTTAAAAAATTCTTTATTGTTTAAAGTATTACATATTTAAAAAATTCTTTATTGTTTAAAGTACTCCCCCCCCCCATTGACCTCTCCCAGCCCCTCCCCCCAGCACATTCCCTTGGTTGCCCATTGGTTGTGCTCATATGCACACATACAAGTCCTTTGGCTGATCTCTTACTCCCCCTCACCCACCACCTTCCCTCTGAAGTTTGACAGTCTGTTCAATACTTCTATGTTTCTGGTTCTTTTATTTTATTTTTTATTTTTTTTTAATCTCTGGTTCTATTTTTGTTCATCAGTTTATGTTGTTTATTATATTCCACAAATGAGAGAGATCATGTGACATTTATCCTTCTCTGACTGGCTTATTTCACTTAGCATAATGCTCTCCAGGTCCATCCATGCTGTTGCAAATGGTAAGAGGGCAGCATACTAAATACAGCGATGTAGTATTCCATTGTGTATTTGTGCCACAATTTTCTAATCCACTCATCTGCTGATGGGCACTTAGGCTGTTTCCAAATCTTAGCTATGGTAAATTGTGTTTAAATCCTCATCTGAGGCCAAAACCGGTGTGGCTCAGTAGACAGAGCATCGGTCTGCGGACTGAAAGGTCCCAGGTTCAATTCCGGTCAAGGGCATGTACCTTAGTTATGGGCACATCCCCAGTAGGAGATGTGCAGGAGGCAGCTGATCAATGATTCTCTCTCATCGATGTTTCTAACTCTCTATCCCTACTCCTTCCTCTCCGTAAAAATCAATAAAATATGTAAATTCTCATCTGATGATATTCTTTTTTTAAACATTTCTTTATTGATTTCAGAGAGGAAGGGAGAGGGAGTGAGAAAGAGAGAGGGGAGAGAGATCAGTGATGTGAGAGAATCATTAGTGGGCCACCTCCTGCATGCCCCCCACTGGGGATTGAGCCCACAACCCAGACGTGCCCTTGGCGGAACTGAACCTGAGACCTTTCAGTCCGCAGGCTACGCTCTATCCCCTGAGCCAAGCCGGCTAATGCAAAGGATATTCTTTTCCATTGATTTTTTTTTAAAATATATTTTATTGATTTTGTACAGAGAGGAAGGGAGAGAGATAGTTAGAAACATCGATGAGAGAGAGTCATCGATCAGCTGCCTCTTGCACACCCCCTACTGGGGATATGCCCGCAACCAAGATACATGCCCTTGACCGGAATCGAACCCGGGACCTTTCAGTCCCCAAGCCGACGCTCTATCCATTGAGCCAAACCGGTCCCGGCTTTTCCATTGATTTTTAGAGAATGGGAGGGAAGAGGAGGGGAGAGAGAGAAACATCAGTGTGAGAGACACATTGACTGGTTGCCTTCCCCACACACCCTGACCTGTGGCAGCTAGCAAACCTACAACCAAGAAACATGCCTTTGACTGGAAATCAAACCCGAGACCCTTCATAGGTTTGGCCTACGCTTTAACCACAGAATCAAACAGGCCAGGTGCCTCTTTTTTTTTTTCTTTCTTTTTTTCTTTTTTTTTTTTCTTTCTTTAACAGCAGTTTTGGGCGACTCAAGAGCCTGAGAAGGGGGGAGCTGGGAGATTCAGAAGATGGGCTTGGGATTGGGGGACCGACCCAGAAGTCTGGGGTTTGAGTGGAGTGGGCTGCCCCTAGGCTCAGCAGTCCAATTTTGGGACCACTAAGGGTGGGGTAGGTGCCCCCATTCAGTGGAGGGGCCTGTGCCCTGCCATGCAGAGGGTGGCCATAGCCTGGGCCAGGGGCAGGCCAGTATGGGGGTCCTTTGATGTAGAAACAGGACAGAGTTCATGCCTTTGTTTGGCTGGGGTGGGAAACTGCTGTCCTTGTTTCCCAAGAGTGGACGGGAAGGCCTTCTGCTGCCCCCATTTCCAGCCCAGGACAGGCGTGTGTGTGTGTGTGTGTGTGTGTGTGTGTGTGTGTCTCTCTCTCTCTCTCTCTGTCTCTTTCTCAGGCAGCACGCAACCATGCTCATGCCTTCCTTGCTGGTGTCAGTTCTCAGAGGCCCAGCGGGTACTTCTGAGGCCTCCTGCCCCGCCCGCCTGCACTATTTCCTGGCCTGTTTCATAAGGATTCTGGGCTTAGGAGGGGAGGCGGAACAGTGCAACTGGAGACATTCCAGAAGCCTCGCTGTGGGAGGGGCTTCAGATCCACTGGGTCAGGACTGGTCCTGGACCCAGGACACCAGGTGAAGGCGAGATGCCAACTTCCTGTCCTGGCAGGATGGGCAAAGCCCTGAGGATGCTGTCTGCTCCGGAGGGCATGGGAGCCAGGCGATTAGGGGCAGAGGCTGCAGGAGAGGCCTGGGTGTGAGTGCAGAGACTGGACTGACCTTGTGGGAGGGGACAGGCTGATGACAGAGCTGCGAGCTCTGAGCAGGCCTCCTACCCATCTGTCAGGTAACTGGTGGGTACCGCCCCATAGAACTTTTCTTGCTCTGAGGCAGACCATTCAGAGACCCGTTTTCCACTTCTTCATAGTCTTTAAATGCTGCTCAGAAAGTGCGTGTGCCATCGACCGGAACAAGTGGTCATCTGAAGGAGCAACACAACAAAATAGCATACATATCACACTGCGGGTATATTCACATATGTGTAACTCCATCTATTGAAAAAAAAAACAAAAAAAACCAACCGCATTATTAACCGGTACACCCAGGAAGCCGTGGGTGTGGAGGGGGAGGCACAGGGGGGCCAGGCGACAGGAGGATCCAGACCAGGTGTCACCACCCGAGGCCCGGCTGCGGGGCCGCCTGAGTCAGCGGCCGCCTGCCTGCCTGGGGGAGCGGGGAGCAGAAGGTGGGGGGCAGCCCTGGCGGGGCTGGGAGGGCCTTCCTGAGGGAGGAGCACGCACTCTCCGCGGCCCGGGCCCTGCTCACCTTTCCCAGGGAGACCCCAGGGCGGCTGGAGGACGGGGCGAGCCGACGGGAGCGGCCCGCACGCACCCCGGCCGCGCGCCGGCAGCCGGGGCCCTAACGCCGGGCCACGGAGGCCGGCAGGGGGCGCTGCGCCGCCGCGGACGCGGACACGTCGGGGGCGTGGTTTCAGGCCCCGCCCACCGCGCCGGGCGCGTGCGCAGTGCGCCTCCCCGCAGAGGCTGCTGGGCGGGGCGACGCGAGCCTGCGCCGAGCGGGAGCGGAGCGGAGCGGCGGCCGGAACATGTGGAGACCGGTGAGTCCCGCCGGCGCGGCCCGGCGCCCTGCCCCGCCGCCACCAGGCGCCCGTGCGGGCCCCTCAGGGCCCGAGCCCCGAGTCCCTGCGCCCCGCACCGCCGGGGCGGCCGGGCCTGTCAGGGGCCTGTCCCCGGGCCGCCCGCCCCGCCCTCGGCGCTCCGAGGTCCCGCACGGCCTCCGGTGCCCGCCCCGGCCCCCCTGCGCCCCGGGCCCCTGGGAGGTGCGGTCCCCTCGGGAGGGAGCCCCCGGCAGAGGGTGCCCGCCACCGGAGCCCCTTCCTCACGGGCTGGAGGCCTCGCTCCACCTCACGGACAGCTCCCCGCACGGGCGCCCTTTCCCCGCAGCTGCTGGCCGCCGGCCGGCTTCGGGGCCGTGGACACCGGCCCGCCCTCGCCGTCTCCCTTCCCTCCGGCCCCGGCCCACCGGGCCACGCTGGGCCGGACCTGCCTCCGCCCTCGGTCTCCCCGCGCCGTCCGGCCCGGGCGGCCTGCCCACTCCGCGTTGACCCTGACCCGGCAGCCGTGCCTGGTGGCGCCTCCGTCCGTCCGCAGCTTCCCCGCAGTTCGCGCCGCTGTCACCACTCCCCCCGGGGTCTGGCCTGCTCCTCCCAAAGGTCGCTTTCCTGTGGAACTTGCCTTTTTCTTGCAAACCCGGCCTGGTCGGTGGAGACAGTCCCACCATGCGCTGTGGCTGGCAGCAGCTGCAGTCCGGGGGCTCAGAGACGGAGGCAGCCCAGGGTCCCAGGCCAGGGCCAGGGGCAGGTTTAGCTCCGAATTAGGAGCTCCCACAGCCACCGGACCTCAGGGGCCGAGGTGGTCCTCCAGGCCCTCCCCTGGGGCGGGGTTCCAGGCCCACCCGGAGGACAGGACGTTTGTGGTCGCCCTCCTGGCGAGCCTGGGGCTGTGGACCTGTTATTAAACGTCAGGGGTCCTTCCAGGTCTGTGCAGGTTTCTTTGTTGTTTCTAACATATTTTTGTTGATTTCAGAGAGGAAGGGATAGGGAGAGAAACATCAGTGATGAGAGAGAATCATGGATCGGCTGTCTCCTCTATGCGCCATACTGGGGATCAAGCCCACAACCCGGACATGAGCCCTGATGGGAATCAAACCTGGGACCCTTCATTCCACAGGCTGATGCTCTATCCACTGAGCCACACCAGCCAGGGCTGTGCAGGTTTCTGTACAGCATCACCATGAGACTCGGTGGTGGCTTCTCACTGCCCTGGGCAGCTTGTCTGCAGTGACATCTCACCTTCCTTCCTTCTAATCGGCTTTCTGATCTGCACAGTTCTAGGAAAGCAAGCAGCTCAGCTGGTGCTGGGTGCGTGCCCACACACGGTCTTTGTCCCGCACTGAAGTACACACACTTACCCATTGTCCATGTGAGGGTTACTGCTCAGAGATCTTTTTTTGCTGCTTTGTACATTGTTAGCTAAGTTCTGATGAGCCCTGGATTTGTGCAGACACACTGTGCGCACATTCGAGGGAAGCAGGACAGGCCGGGGACAGGAAGCCCATCACCTCTTGTCCATGCTGGAGGCTGTGGGAGTGGGAGGGGTGCGGGGACACGTATGCGTTTGTCTTGGCAAGAAGGTGCCAGCGTGTGGGAGGGTCTCCTGGGACCTGCCAGCTGAGTCAGAGGTGCCAGGGCAGGCTGAGTGCATGGCCACACACCTTCATGCAGCCACATGCTCAGCCTTCACTGGGGCACCTGGGGGTTGGGTGATGCTGGGTTTGGCCGTGGTCTTGGGGCTCCTGTGCCGAGGCTTGGGGTGCTGCATACACAACCTCTGAACCAGGTCCTTGGCTCTACTTCTCTGATTGTTGGCCCGTTGCTAGGATAACCTGTGGACCTTTGCCCTGAACGTTGACTTCTCAGAGTGAGTGTAGTTGGTCAGCTTTGGCAAGCTTCCTTCTTGGTCTGCCATGGTGAGCCCCTTGGGGCTTATAGCAGCCTCCATCTTGTGGCCCTTCCACTCTCCACATCCTGTAACTAACCCCTCGCCAAGCTCTCCACGTACTGGGAATAGTCTCTCTTCTCCTCTTGGCAAAATAAGCCCTTCTTTTCCTTTGGGAGACGCCGTGGGAAGCTGTGCTAACACAGATGGTTCATCCCGCCCAGCACGTGCGCGCTGCTGTGTGTCCGGCGGGTGAGAGCAGTGGCCCGCCAGGAGGAGGCCTGGGAGAGCGCAGCGGCTCATTGACTCCGAGGAGCTCAGCACGCACCTCTGTGCTCCGAGCGTTGCAGGCCTCCGTTCACTTGGTCTGTGCGTCGCCAGGGCGGTGGTCCTGCTTCACAGGCAGGGAAACTGAGGCACAGAGAGGAAAGCATGGCTGCTAAGTGCTGCTGCCTGGATTCCAGTCCAGTTCTAGCTCCTGGTGTCTAGATCCAGAGCCTGCCACCTCCCCTCCCCGCCTCTCCCCGTCCACTGCCAGCCCTGTCTCCACCTGCTCGATGCCAGGAGCACCCCTTCCCCTGATTGTGACGACCGAGTGTCTGCAGACAGTGCCCCGCGTCCTAGCACAGGATCGTCCAGGCGAGGACCCCTCGCCTGGCTCTGAAACGCCACCTTCCGGCTGAGACATCCAGCAGGACAGCAGATGCTGGGAGCCTCCTATCATGAAAACATAGATGTACGGGTACCTGCCGACAGCCACCGCCTCGGCCTGCCCCAGTTGTTTCTGCTTCTCTCTGAAGACGTGTGTTTTGTTGTCGTTGGACCATTTGATAGTAAGACAGACATTCTGACCTTACCCTCTAGACCAGCCACTGCCAACTGGTGGTCTGTGGACCAACAGGTCTGTGGGGTCCGAAAGGTTGGCAACTGCTGCTCTAACCAATGATTCCCAATAGGGGGGTGATTTTGAGAATGAATTAAATGAATTTTTTGCATTTCTTGTGGTTCTAGGGGCCTCATATACAGTATATTAATATGTTTTGTGTCATAATTGATGCATTTCAGTTCTCTTACATGTTTTGAAACTTTACTTTCTATTTTTTCATATAACCTATTACTTCTTTAACCGTTTCTTAGTGATTTCTTCCTCAGTACTTTATGTATAATATATTTTATTGATTCTGTACAGAGAGGAAGGGAGAGAGATAGAGAGCTAGAAACATGGATGAGAGAGTCATCGGCCAGCTGCCTTTTGCACACCCCCTACTGGGGATATGCCCACAACCAAGGTACATGCTCTTGACCGGAATCGAACCCAGGTCCTTTCAGTCCCCAAGCCGACGCTCTATCCATTGAGCCAAACCGGTCTCGGCTCTTCCTCAGTACTTCAACTGTCCTTTTGTTCTTTTATTTTTTTCATTCATGGATGCCATGTTCTTGGGAAGCTTGTTTAGACCAAGTTAAACTTTGGCCTTTTAGGCTTCCTCCACTTTTTGAATAGTAAGAATTATACACCACAGGGAGGGCATCCGGATGTTAGAGACGCTGAGGGGGGCGTGGCCAGAACAAGGCTGGGAACCCCTTCTCTCGCCTTCGCTGTGCACTCCCTGAACAAGGACATATGCGCCCGTCACCATGGAAACTCTATCATGCCCCACATGCCGAGAGCTCAGGCAGACCTTGGAGACCCTGCAGTAATGCCAGTGTCCCAGGAAGGCACGTCTTGTGGGTATTTTGTTTCTTGGTGCATAGAGCCTATTGAGTGAGTGTGTGGGAATGCTGCGTCTAAAAAAAGACCGTGTGTACCTTAACTGAAGCATATTACTGCTAAGAAAAGCTGCCCATCACATGAGCCTGTTGGAAAATGGGCCGACAGACTTGGTGCAAACCTTTACTTTGTGAAAATTGCCCCATCGAGGTGGGCCTGCAAGTCCGTGCCCTCTCAGACTGTCTGGGGTGGGGTTTTCCCAGGTGGAGGCCGGGGTTCCTGCTTTGCACCTGGTGTTGGGTTTCTCTAGCCTCCAGTCCTCCACGTTTCCCAATAACCTTCTATTTAACGTCTTGCTGTAAAGAACTGGGAACATTTGCAGAAGTGGAGAGACGTGGTAAAGGACTGTGCCCAGCACCAGTACCAGCGCACGGGCCCTGGACTCTGCAGAGGCCAGCAGCTGCGGAGAGGAGCCCCTCGCGTCTGCTTGTCGGGGCTCCTCAGGCTCGTGGTAATGAGTGAGCCTGGCGGCTGCAGCCGTGGCTGCTGTCGGTTGTGCTCGTGGGCCGTGGGCTGTGGTGGCTGCATTCCTGGCTCCTCACGCTTGCCCAGGATACGGGCTCCTTCTCCCAGCAGCCCCTCCCTGGCCACTGCTCTGATTTGGGCTTCAGAACCTCTGAGTGGACACCTGCCCCTTCCTTCCCCACGGCTGATGTCCCCAGCACAGCACCCCCTCCCTGGGAAAAACCTTGGCGAGGGCCTTGGGATGCCCGCCTATCTCTGGCTCTTTGCCCCTACCCTTCCCTCTTTGGGCGGCCCCCTCTTCACCTCTGGGCACGTGTGTTTTCCACCCACACAGCCAGTCTCCTCAGAAACACCCTGTCCTCTCCTGGCTCCGGGCCTTCATTGACGACGCAGTGTCCTCTCTCTAGAAAACCCACAGCGTCCACATGGATGTCCCCTCGCCGCCAGGCTACAGGGTCCCGCCCTCCCTGGTGCTGTCCCCACGGCCTGGTCACACACAGGGCCCACTGTCAGGCTGGCCTTCCTGGCAGAGTTGGGTGGGCGGGTGGATGTGAGTTATAGAAGATACCAGTCAGGTGGGGGACACAGGAGGGCCTGGGTGGGGCCTGGGCAGAGTTGCATTAGGGACAGGCATGGTATGGGCAGGTGGGGCTGACCCTCCTGCACGTGTGCTTGTCACACACCCCCATTGGATGCCCATCCTGGACCCAGCTATTCTGCAGGTATTGACTGATGTTCTGAGAACCCACCACCGTGTGGCACGGATACGCTCTCTGGGCCTGCTCTGCGGTGTGGTCCGGCGCGAGGTGGCCGGGCCAGGTGTGCAGGCCAGAGGCCAGCAGGGTGCAGAACCCGTCCGCTCTGGCCTCGCTGTGGGTGGCCTTGCTGGGCAGAGGTTTGACAGCACCGTCCTCCTCGCGGGACAATAGGTCATGGACATTTTTCTTTGATTTTGGCTTTTTTTTGCTGTCCTTGGAATTGTATTCAGGGCTGCGTGCTTTGGCCAGAAAGTGATTGGAAAGTCAGTTCCTTATCTGGCCCATAGTTCACAGTGATATCTTTTTTTTTTTTTTTTTTTTAATAATATATATTTTATCGATTCTTTACAGAGAGGAGGAGAGAGGGATAGAGAGTTAGAAACATCGATGAGAGAGAATCATCAATCAGCTGCCTCCCGCAACACCCCCAACTTGAGATGTGCCCGCAACCAAGGCACATGCCCCTGACTGGAATCGAACCCGGGACCCCTCAGTCCGCAGACCAACGCTCTATCCACTGAGCCAAACCGGCCTCGGCTCACAGTGATATCTTTTAAAAATATATTTATATTTTTTATTAATTTCAGAGAGGAAGGGAGAGATAGAAACATCCATGATGAGAGAGAATCACTGATCAGCTGCCTCCTTCACAGCCTACATTGGGGATCAAGCCCCCAACCCGGCCTCATACCCTGATCAGGAATCGAACCATGACTTCCTGGTTCATAGGTCGATGCTCAACCACTGAGCCATGCCAGCCAGGCACACAGTGATAATCTAACACCTGTGCTGTGGCTATGACTTAATTACTATACTCAGCGTTTTTCCCCTAGAAACTGAGAATTTGCAGTTGGAACATTTGTAGTTGAGGAACTGGTAAGACTCGTAATTCAAGTCAGATTGGGGGAACAAGGTTGCCAGTTGGCAGAGAGCCTCCTGGGAACTTAGCTTCTCTGCCTGTCCTGCTGGAGCCTCCACTTTGCCTCACAGGAGTTCCTGGTGCCTTTGCCTACTTTCAGAACAATGACCTAAGCAAGGCCCGTCTCCTGTGTCCAGTCTTTTTGATTGTGTGGTTAGCATTGCTGGCACTTGCTGCGGAATACTGCCCTCACGCTTGGCCGTGGTCTCAGCTGCAGGAAAGATTAAGTGCTGGGTCCCAGGGCCCATCGTGCTGCTGGCAGGGCGTGGCCGCCGCCTCTGACCCTGTGCTCCCGTTCACTTTGCAGTCACCACGTTGCCACCTACACTGCACTGCTCTGCAGCGCCGCCCGGGCCCCGCCGCCCTGCTCAGGAGAAGCCTCCGGGTCCCGCCTGTTCAGTGGTGAGTTCTCGACAGCCTCTCCGAGCAGGATGGGCGGCCTCTGTGGGCCTGTGTCTGGGTCTTCTCTGTGCCCCCTCTGCACACGACGGGCTGGGTTTGCTCCTGGTGAGTGGACCTGGGACTGGAGCTCCAGGGCAGGACCCCTGCCAGCATGGTGAGCAGAGGGCAGCCAGAGCTGAGGCTCAGACAGGAAGTGGGGGGGCTGCTGTAGTGGGGCCAGAGCAAGACACGGGCACGAGGGTCGAGAGGAGCCAGGGCATGTGGCTGCCTCTGCAGGATGGGCAGAGTGAGTTGGGCGGGGGTGTAGGCGAGACTCGGAGTGGATGCTGGTCCCACTGCGGTCCTTGCCTTGACCTCTGTTCATGTGTGCTATCGATACCTGCATGCCTGCCATCCTGGCGCTTGCAGTCCCGTGGGCCATTGGCGAGGTGCCTGGTGGGGTGACTATTGGGTAAGCGGTTCTGTCCCGTGAGTGGCTTTCCATGTGGTCACCGATCCACTTCCTCCATCCACTGACCCCTGGGAGCCTAGCATCTGGGGTGCCATGGGCTCAGGTGAGGTGACTTGGACACCGTGGTCAGAGAGCCTCCGAGACCAACGTCACCTGCACAACCCAGGCCAGGCAGGGATGGTGCAGATGGGAAGCAGCCAGCTGTGCCTTTTGTCCCTCCAGGCCCCTGGGATCCCAGCCCCTATGGAAGAAAGTGCTCGCCTCCACGGCTGTGGGGCTGCCGCTGCTCCTGGGCGCCCGCTACCTCACCGCAGAGTCACAGGAGAGGAGAAGGATGCGGCTCATGGTGGAAGGTGTCACGCGCTTTGGCAGGTAGGGCTGGGTGGCGTGGCCCTTCCTTCTCCCTGCACAGCCCGCCCTCATGGGCCTAGTGCACTCACACTGGACACCCTCCACAGACCCTCCAGATCAGCCCTGATGGTGGGGGGTAGGGAGGGGAATGGTGCCTTCCACCCTCCTCTTCCTTCACCTGCCTTCTTGCCTCAACTTCCCCACCAAGAGTTGGCACCCAGACAGAGGGCATTGGAGTGGACATGGTGCTGTCTGCTCCTCAGGCTCTCTGACCCTTGGGGGCAGGGCTGACCTCCCAGCGGAGCCCCTCGGGTCAGCACTCCTGCTCAGTCCAGGAATTCCTCGGCCTCAGAGGCCTAAGAACCAGCTCTTAGCACCGAGTAAAACCTTCGGTTGCCCAAACGCAGTTATAAGATTGCCTGTGGAAAGGGCTGCTGCTGGGGCAGGTGTGGGATTGCTAGCTGTGAGCCCCCGCTGCCTCTGGGGCCCCGGCCGATTCCCCCGGAAGAAAGCGGAGGCCACGGAGGCCTTCAGGCACCTAGCCAGAGGTTCGTTGAGATTTACTCGAGGCCGGAGAGCCAGATGGCTGACCGCCCACTCACCCCGCCTCCAAGTTGGAGCAAGCCCATTACTTCTCCCTGGTGGGCAGTTGACAGATTTGCCCGGAACTCTCAGTTGCCCTCCTGGGCTGGTTCCTGGCGGGGACCTCTGTTGTGCAAGCCTCGAGGTTGATGACCGAGCATGGAGTTGGATCTGCCTTTTCTTCTGTCCCTGTGCAGCTTGGTGCTGAAATGCCCCCTTGGCTGGCCTGGGCTTGTCTCGCCTGCCTCGTGTGGCTGCTCTGCATGTCGGACACCCCTCCCGGGAGCACATCCCATCGCCACTGTCAGAGGCTGAGCTGGGATTGGAGGGAGGGAGCCAGACGATTATCCCCGTCTGCGCCAAGCCTTACAGGTGCCAGGACAGGCAGGCCTGATGGGGCGTCGTGGTGGGTGCTGGGTGACCACAGGACCCCTGGAGACAGAGGACGTACAACAGGTCCTGGTTAGCGGGCAGCATGAGTGCAGGAGCCCAGGGAAGGACACAGGTTGAGGGGTGGGGCGGAGTCTGACCATGACTCACCAATGCTTTTTCTGTGGCCGGAGGCCGAGGTCAGAGTGTGTCACAGGTGCCCGTGCACAAGGTCGGGGGTGGAGGTGAGGGTGAGGGTGGGAGGTCTGCTTTAGGACCTTTTTACAGTCTCTGTCCCCAGCCCCACTTTTTTGTCACAATTTCAAATGTCCAAAAAAGTTGCAAGAGTAACACAAAAGAACTTTTTGCTGGAAACTTTGCAAGCAAGTTGTCAACATGCCTCATTGTCCCTGAAAGCTCATTGAGTGTTTCCTAAACAAGGACTTTCTCCTTCATAAGCACAACCAGGAAGCCGATCCCTATGACCTTGACCTTCCCTGTCACCACATGCCCCAGGAGCAGCCTTCTCAGCACCAGGGTCGGTCTACAGTCCCTGTCCTGGGTCTTCCCTTCTGGAGCAGCCCCAGTGTCTCCTGGGCTCACATGGCTAAACTGGGGGTCAGGGCTCAGTCTTCCAACACACACACCCCCCAATCTGTCCACGACTCTTGAGACCAGCTGCTACTTCCATTGGGGGGGACCACAGCCTTCTCAGTTTTAAGTCCCTAGGGCGACTCCCAGAACTCGGGACATGCTGTGATGAGGATTGGGGTGCTGTTACAGAGGGTACAGAGCAGGACCAGCTCAGGGAGGAATGTACAGGGTTGGGCCTGGGAGGTCTCAGATCACAACTTAGGGTCCTCGGACTTGTTCCCAGCTGGCACTGATGTGCCTGTCCTCGTGGAGTGCCCTGGGCACTGGGGTCGAGTCCCCGTTGAGGTTTCAGTGCCCGGGCACTGCTGAGCATGTCAGTAGCCTTGTGACTGAATTCAAGACACCAGCCCCTTCCCACTGGGCTTGTCTCAGAGCCCCAAAACCAACCACAGGGTGGGTCTTCCCAGTCATCAAGCCCTTCATTATAAGCCATCAGGGCCACCACGAGTCAGAGATGGTGCTGCCACTCAAGAAATTCCATGGGCTGCAGCCAGACCTCTTCAGACACAGGGCCCTGGACAGATCTGGAGGCACTAGAAGGGGCCTGGGCCTGGGGTTGCACTGTCGCCTTGGCAGGAGCAGTGGGGATCCCTATCTGGGAATAGTCTCCCTGGGGCTCCTGGAGTGTGGAGGAGGCAGAACCAGGAGTGTGAAGGCCTGGGGCAAGCGTGTGTTCACATGTGAGCTGGCCAGCCGGCCATCGCAAGTGTGCCCCGTCCTGGGTGGGCTTTCCTTTAGGATGAGTGTGCTCTAGAATACAGACCCCCACCCAGTTGTCACTCCCATGGGTCCTGGGCGGCACTGCTCAGGGGCTGAAGGGTGGAGTGGGTGCAGGTGGCCTGTTCTGCAGAGCAGGAGCTGAGATGGACACTGAGAGCAGAGAGGCTGGGGCGAGCCTCCTATGGCCCTGGGCCCTGAGGGGCGGGCTGGGGGGGGGGGCCTGAGACTGTGCCTGCAGGAGCTGAGGGAGCCTGTGCCGGCAGGTCCTTGAAGGTCGGCCTGCAGATCTCCACGGACTACTGGTGGTGCACGAACGTCGTCCTGCGAGGGGTGGAAGAGGTCTGTCCGTGTGTCCTCGGTGACAGCTGGGCCCGTCTGCTGTGGGGAGGGATTCTGGAGGAGCTGGGTGTTGGGAGGACTGAGGAGGTGCCTGCCTGCCCCCATCCCCCCTCCATGCCTGTGGTCAGAACAGCCCGGAGTACTTGGAGGTGATGTCTGCGTGTCATCAGCGGGCGGCCAACTCCCTGGTGTCCGGGGCCATCTACAATGGGGGCCTCTACGTGAAGCTGGGCCAGGGGCTGTGCTCCTTCAACCACCTGCTGCCTCCCGAGTACATCCAGACCCTGCGCGTGCTGGAGGACAAGGCCCTCACGCGCGGCTTCCGGGAGGTGAGCCCCACCCTGGAGCAGAGGCTGGGCGGGAATCGGTGGGGCCTCCACGCTGCCCAAGAACCCTCTCCACCAGGTGGACGAGTTGTTCCTCGAAGACTTCCAAGCTCTACCCCACAAGCTCTTCCAGGAGTTTGACTACCAGCCCATTGCTGCTGCCAGCCTGGCCCAGGTCCACCGTGCCCGAATGCACGATGGCACCGCCGTGGCTGTGAAGGTACAGCACCCTTCCCCCTTTCTGACGGTGGCTGGGAGGCAGCGGCAGGCGTGCGTGGCAGCAGGTGCAGTGCTTTGCCCGTGCAGGTGCAGTACATTGACCTGCGGGACCGCTTCGATGGGGACATCTACACCCTGGAGCTCCTGCTCAAGCTGGTGGAGTTAATGCACCCCAGCTTTGGCTTCAGCTGGGTCCTCCAGGTAACTGCCCACGGGCAGGAGCGGCACCCCCTGCTGGGCTGCCCTGCCCTGGCCCTGACCTGCCTGCCCATGTGGCCCCAGGACCTGAAGGGGATCCTGGCCCAGGAGCTGGACTTTGAGAATGAGGGCCGGAACTCCGAGCACTGTGCACGGGACCTGAGGCACTTCAGCTACGTCGTGGTGCCCCGTGTGTTCTGGGACATGTCCAGCAAGGTGGGCTGGGCGCCCTTGGGAAGGGGCAGGGGCGCACGGCCTGCTGAGCTCAGCCTTTCGCTCTCTCCAGCGCGTGCTGACCGCAGAGTTCTGTGAGGGCTGCAAGGTCAACGATGTGGAGACCATCAAGTCCATGGGACTGGCCGTGCAGGATGTGAGTGCGTAAGCCTGTCACATCCACAGTGGGGACACGGGTGTGCCATGTGCACAGGGAGTCACACTGAGGGACAGGGTGCCTTGTGTGCCCTGTGACAGTGGCGTGGCCCTGTCCCTGCCCCAGATCGCAGAGAAGCTCATCAAGACTTTCGCTGAGCAGATCTTCTACACGGGCTTCATCCACTCAGACCCCCACCCTGGCAACGGTAGGAAGCGCTGCAGTGGGCAGGGCTGGGCCGGGGCCGGGCAGGCGAGCATGAGCGTGTGCCCTGTCCTTAGTGCTGGTGCGGAAAGGCCCGGACGGGAAGGCAGAGCTGGTGCTGCTGGACCACGGGCTCTACCAATTCCTGGATGAGAAGTGAGTGTGTGTGAGGGGGCGGGGGGTGTGGCACTGAGCCTGGCCGTCCTGCTGGGCTGGGCTCACTCTGGGCCCTGCAGGGACCGGTCGGCCCTGTGCCAGCTGTGGCGGGCCATCATCCTGAGAGACGACAACTCGATGAGGAAATACGCAGAGGCACTTGGGGTGCAAGGTGAGGCAGGGGCATGTGTACACAGGGCACGGGTGTGCGGGCACACAGCTTGACTCGGCCGCCCCAGACTACTTCCTGTTCTCGGAGGTGCTCATGCAGAGGCCCGTGCGCCTGGGGCAGCTGTGGCGCTCACACCTGCTGAGCCGAGAGGAGGCGGCCTACATGCAGGCCATGGCGCGGGAGCACTTCGAGGACATCATGGGCGTGCTCAAGGCCCTGCCGCGGCCCATGCTGCTCGTGCTGCGAAACATCAATACCGTCCGCGCCATCAATACTTCCCTTGGCACCCCAGTCGACCGCTACTTTCTCATGGCCAAGAGGTGGGTGCTGGTGGGAGCCCGGTGGGGCGGGGGGGGGGGGGGGGCAGGGGGAGCGGGGCTGGGCTGACCATGTCTCTGGCAGTGCTGTCAAGGGCTGGAGCCGCCTGACAGGCTCAACGTACAAGAGTGCCTATGGCACCAGCCTCCTACGCCACATCAGGGTCATCTGGGAGATGTTCAAGTTTGAAGTGGCCCTGAGGTGAGTGGACAGTTGGGGCCCAGTGGGCACATGGGGGGCGCCAGGGCCTACTCTCCACTGACTGTGACCCTCCTCTCTGCCCCCCAGGCTGGAGACCCTGTCCATGCGGCTCACAGTCCTCTTGCTTCGAGTACTGGCGCACCTCAACCTCATGCCCAAGAACGAGAAGCTCTACGAGTACCTGGAGACCTAGGGCCCGGCAGGAGGCCAGGACGGAGATGTGGACGCCCCGACCCGGGACACTGGAGCAGCTGTCAGCTTGAGTGGGGGACCCCGGGGGCTCTGACCACTGGGAGGGCCAGGAGCCCTGCAATGACCACACGTACTTCTCAAACCAAACCAATCTTTTCCTGTGTTTGTACAAAAGGGGTGGTGGCAGTGGCTGTGTCCAGGGGTCTAGAAGTGGGCAGTGACCCGGTCCGTCTCTAACAGGTCATCCAGGATCTGTGGGGAGAGGGCAGGTGAGGGGTGGGGTGTGGTGGGGCGGGGCGGGGTGAGGTGGGGAGGTAGACGGTCACTCACAATGTCGGGGGTGGTGCCGATCTTCTTGGCCAGCTCACTGCGCTCCATGGTGCTCAGGTACAGGTAGCGGCTGAGCAGCTCTCCATCCAGGATGTTCCTCACGGCATTCTGCAGGGTGCGCCGGTCCACGTGCAGCATCCTAGGGAGGCGTTAGGCATGGGAGCTGGGGCAGGCCGGGGGAGGTGGGGGGGAGGGTGGGTGCGGGCGGAGGCATGCTCACCGGAAGGCGCGGGGGTTGAGGCCGGCGTGGTGGGGCAGCATGGTGGTCAACGCGTTCTGCAGCATCAGTAGCCGCCGGTAGGTCTTCTCTTGCATGGGCAGCAGGAGCCCAATGCCGCCGTCCAAGGTGGCTACGGGGCACAGCATGAGCCTGGTGATCCCAGCACCACCTCTGCCCACCCGTGCCACCTCCCCTTGTCCCACCCACAAGGCCCTCACCGAACCACGTTATGTGCTTGTTCTCCCACACGACCGACTTCTTGCTGGGCCCCTCAGCAGCACCTCGGCACGGGGTCCTCCAGAAGGTGTTCACGTGGGCACCCACATGGAAGTCCGCCCGACGCAGCAGGCGCATGCCACCGAAGCTCTCCTTGGCTGTGTGGGGGACCTCAGGTCACAGCCCGCCCAGCCCCCACCCAGCCCCGCCCTGGGTCGGGGAGCACTCACCCTCCGGCAGGTACATGTACACCATGAGGTTGCGGTCACGGTCAGACACTGGAAACAGAGCCCTGAGTCAGCCTGGTCACCACAGTCCCAGACGGCCGTGGCCCAGGCCTACACTCACCCAGGAAGCCCAGTTGGGTGCTGTCCACCATGAAGTCCACGCTGTACACTTCCAGGGGCTTCGCGTCCTGGGGGCCGAGGGGTGGGTGTCACATGAGGGCCACCGGGGACAGGGACCCCAGCACAGGACCGACCGCACCACCCAGGGTACCCGGGAGACGAGGCTGAGCGTCTTGCTGTCCTCCTGGTAGCGCAGCAGCGAGATGCTCTTCATGACGTCAGCGGCCAGGATGAAGTTCTTGATGCTGATCATCTGGTGGATGTACAGCTGGGTGTCGATGAAGGCCATGCCCGTCAGCTCGCTGGCACGCAGGCTCCACAGGAAGATCTGTGGGGGAAGAAGGGGCAGCCAGTGGCTCGCGGGCAGGCGGGGCCGTGGGTTGGCACAGGCCCCGGGCAGGGACTCACCTTCTGGCCAATGGCCGACACCAGGTGACCATTGCAGTGGCACAGGGCGGTCACGGGCCCCTTCTGCTCCTTCTCGTACAGGACCTTGAACTTGTTCTTGGTCAGGGGCTGGCCAGGCTCGGGCACCACCTCAATCACATCCATGATCAGGATCTGCGTGCAGGGAGGGAGGTGGCGACGTGAGGGCACGCATAGGTGCTGCTGGCACAAGGGTTCCTGCCTGCTGGCTGCTTACCCGCCCACGGCAGGTGACCTCCTCCCCCTGCATGAGGCAGGTCCCAGCAGCCACGTAGCCTTTGAGGCCTGACACGGTCTCCTCGCTGCGCAGCGACACCGTCTTCATGCAGGTCACGTGCTCCCACTCCTCCAGCTCGATCCTGCAGGAGCCGGGGTCAGGGTGCAGCCCTGCCACCTGCCTCCCTCCCGCCCACCTGCCCCCGCCTCACCTTGCGTTGGGGATGGCCTCCCAGCTGACGGGAGAGATGAGCTGGATGGAGAAGGCCTCCTGCTGGGGGTGGATGTAGCGGTCATCTGCAGAGACAGGGCCCTGGTCAGGGAGGGCGGCCCCATGAGCAGGCCCAGCTCAAGCGCCTCCTACCTCTCTCGATGGTCTCAAACTCCTTCTCCTCGCCCGTCATGCGTGGGATCCGGGTGCATGCAGTGTTGGTGCTGGTGGCCACAGCGTATACCTGGAGGAGTGGAGGTGTCAGACCAGAGACCAGGCCCAGAAGGTCCCTGGCCTCCAGGGGGACTCGGACCTTGGACTCCACGTGGTAGGCCACATAGTGGGCTGTGCAGCGCAGCGGGATCTTCCTGACGGGCCACGGGGCATCATAAGACAAGTAGGCAGGCAGGACACTGATCCTCAGCTCACCCTGGATGTTGAGGGGGTCAGTGAGGCCAGGCACCCACTGAAAGCAAAAGGTGACCCCAGGCTCCCTCAGATCAGCCTCCGCTCTGTGCAGCACGGTGAGCAGGCAGCTGGGGTCGTCCAGGGCCAGGATGAACCGACTGGCGGCTGGTGTTCCTGGTGAAGAACTTCCCAAGAGCACTGGAGGAAAAGGAGCCCCGCCGGGGCCCTGCCCCTCCCTCACCCAGTCCATCATCACTTGAGTTCTCGGGTGACAGATGAGGAATGTGAGGCTCAGAGAGGGTGAGCGCCAAAGGGGTCTCAGCTGATGGCAGTTACTGCCTGAACTCCGGTTGCCCAAGCAGGTGCCCAAAACCCTCTCAGCAGTAAGCCCAGGTCTCAGCTCCGGGGGGCCTTGCCCGCCCCCCACCCCGCAGCTCCAACTCATCACCTGGGCTTTGTTCCTGGCCCAGCACCTACACTGCCCGGCAGCCCCACCGGGCAGCTACCTGTCTGTTGAAGTACAGGAAGCCGCGGGGGCAGTTGACGTTGTGGAACGGGGCGAAGGAGTCGATGGGGCCGTCGATGCCCATGGGGTGCAGCCGCAGGGCCCCCCGGCTGGTCACCAGAAGCCAGTGAGGGGAAGGCCCACAGATGAAGACCTGGGGGCAGCACCATGAGGAGCCTGTGGGGACGGGGCCCCCTGCTCGATCCCCCCCCGTCCCTGTCCGAGGCCCGCCCCCGGGGCTCACCCCCGCGTAGCCGTAAATGTCCTCGAAGAAGCGGAAGCGCGCCACTCGCCCACGGGCCACGGCCCCCTCCTCCGTGCCGCTGCCCTCTGCCTTCTTCTTAGACAGCTTGGGCTTCTTCTCCCGGAAGTTGATGTTATGGGGGACCTGGTGGAGGGAGTCCCGTGAGTACCTGTCCCTGCCCCGCCCTGCCCCGCACCCTCGGCCACCCACCCCTGCCCACCCTGCCCTGCGCCCCTCGCCACCCCGCACCTTCTTGAAGCGAACTTTGAGGTTCCCCTGGCCGAGCTGTGAGTCGTGGGCAAAGGCCTCGTAGATGAGCAGCTCTTGGTCCACGTGCACCTGGGGGTGGCGGCGGGTCATCAGGGCCTGGACGGCGTGGGCCCGGGGCGGAGCGGGGCCTGCCCGTGCTCACCAGCAGGTAGGGCCGGCTCTGGCGACTCCCGAGCGCCACCAGCAGCACCTCCTTGACGAGGGGCAGCTCCCCCTGGCGCGTGGCCTCCTCCTTCCGGGCCTCGCCCTGCGTGGTGGGCTGGCCGAACGAGCTGTCCACCAGCACCCGCTGCCCCACCGGGAAGTTCTTCACCAGGAACACCAGCCGCCAGTCGGGGAGCTGGTAGATCTGAGGGGACGCGGGTTAGTGGGGGCAGGAGTGGGAGGGGCGGCTCCGAGGGCACAGGGCGCCACCCACCTCCATGGTTCCGTTCTCCCGCACCAGGAGGCACCAGTGTGTGGGCTCTGCCCGGAAGGGGGTGGGGTCCCGGTCTGTGGGGGGCTGGCTGCTCCTGCGCGCCTCCTCCTTGCTGGGGCTGAAGAGGGAGCCCGAGTCCCCGTACAGCATCTCCTCCTCGTCGTCCACTGTGGGGCTGGGGCACACGCGTGTATCAGGGTGGCCCGCCCGGGACCCCAGCCCCGAGGCCCCGGCCCCGGCCCCACACACCTGGTCTCTGAGCCTGGGCCCTCCGCCTCGGAGCCACAGCGCCCGCCCAGCTCGTCACGGGCCCCGCCCAGGCGGCTCTCGGTGGTGAACAGGCCACTGACGTCACGGTACACACACATGGCGATCACCTTCGACTGCTGTTGGGGGAGGGGGCGCAGTGGTCAGCAGGGGCTGCAGTGGTCAGCAGGGGGGCGCAGTGGTCAGCAGGGGCAGTGGATGGGGACAGGGCCGGGCGGAGGGGCCTACGTGGTGCAGCGGCGGCTTGTGCAGAGCCAGGCGGTGGTGGCGGCCCCCATAGGAGTCGCTCTTGAGTAGGAACATGGTGACATGGCCCTCGGAGCTCATGATGACCACGTAGGGGTCAGCCACGGCGCACTGCACGATGGGGGAGCCCAGGTCCACGGGGATGAAGTGCAGCTGGTTCACTGCAAACACAGGCCAGTCAGCACACACTGCCCCTGCCCGCCTGCCCACCCGCACACGCACACGCCCGCCCGCCGGACCCACCTCCTTCCAGCAGGCGGATCCCCAGCGGTGACACTTGCACGATGTAGCGATTGTCCCCGATGTTGCCGGCGAAGACTGTGGGGCCCTGGGTGGCGAAGCCACTGGTGTCCAGCTCCATGATCTCCTGCCCGGTCTGCAGGACCTGAGGGCAGCGGGGTGAGGCTCACTCCTTGCAGGGCCCACCCGGGCACCCCTTCACCAGGCCACTCACCATGGTGGAGTCTTCCCGGCTCAGAATCAGGAACCCGTGTCTCCGCCCGTCGTCCTCTGTGCCAGGGGTGCTGGGCTCCTGCTCCGCGCCCTCGCCCTGAGGGGTCTCCTCCTGTGATGGGAGGGCAGAGCGCACCTCAGCACTCAGCCCGGGGCCGAAAGGCGGCCCCACCGCCGAGACAGAGCAAGTTCTGCTGCATCAGCTGGGCCCTCACAGCTGGGCC